CACTCCCACAAGGCCATGATTTGTATTTATTTCCGCACGAGAGCATCCGGATTTAAAAGTGTTCGTTTTCCCCATAAAACAATTGGTTTTGAATCTCAAACAAACTTCTTACACCCTCAGTGCCTCTCTCTGCCGTTCCTCCTTTTCACAAAGTTCTGCTCATGTTTTTCTTCAGCTAGTATGTTGGTTCAGTAATGCCTTCCCCAGAGACCACCAATTTTATCGTAACTCTTTGGTCCCTCCCTCCCCTTTTTCCTATGACCACAGTAGACAATCTCCCAGCAGATAAGCCATGGCTGAAAAATACATACTTTTCCTCTTTAAGTGCACTTTTATTTTCCATCTACTAAAGCTGTAAGAACGCCCTGCAGATATTTCCTCGTTTCTTGGTCCCTGCCAGGACACCCAGCAGATGCTCTTTTTTAGCCTAACCTCACTTACCCCAAACTTTCCACTCTCTCAGCAGCTTGCCTGTACTTTATTCTCACCTCCTTCCAGCAAAGCCACCCTCTGGACAGGTTACAGAATCAGAAGACCCCAGCAAAAAATGTACTGTAAGGCAAATTGCCTGCCTACCTTATAGCTAAAGGCTAAATTTGACAAAATTACACCCTTGGCAGCACTAGCAGAAATGTGTGCGGGGAATCTCACTGGTACTCACTTTCTAGGCATCAGTATGCTTGACCAAGTCCTGTGGTTCCCATTTTAACTCAAAAGCAATTTACTTTTCATTTTCTGGTCAGGTTCAAGTCATTTTTGTAAGTACAAGAAGGTACCCATCTCCCTGTTCTAACACGAGTTACAAAGTACTTTGCATTACTGAGTACGTGTAAAGATTTTGCTTTTCTAAAATGAACACCACCACTAAATAAAGACCCAGCCTTGATATCACGCTGCTTGGAGGAAGCCAAGAGTCCAAGTCTTACAAATGCAGAAATCTTAGTGATATCCCTTTACTCCAGACACAGACTGGGGATATAAATGGCCAACTGGGAGCTGCCCATGAGCTGGCATTGCCAAGTCACTCCAAAACCTCTGTCCCCTCCACTTAGAATGCAGCACTACCTGACCCTAAATTCTGCTACAGACAAAGTTGGAAA